GCTCATGTTTGGAATTAAATAAATATGACTAAACAATTTGATGAAAAACAATTTGCTATTAACTGCCAAGTGGTTTCATTTGTTACACTCGGGCCTATAGGGCCTTGAACCTCTGACCAGTCGTACACGGTCCGCAACAGTATGTGAAGTGTATGATTCACAAACACCCTTTTTTCAAACCAGAACTTAGAAAAACAGTAGCTTCTTCCTTTTTTCCAACATAGACTTAAGCTTTTTAAAAATGAAGTCAATAGAATATTTTCCATTGTGTAATTAAACTAGAGAGACTGTAAGTCAGTGTGTATTTGCCTCTCTCGATTAATTGTAGAAAAAATTACTTTGTTTTAATCCCTGATAATCAAAATAGTTAGTCTTTTTTGGCTGGTATTTTTTAGCTTTATTAAACACTCAAAAATGCCTTACATGATTATTTTTTAAATTGCATTTGTATAGCTATAAAAATCATACTTATTTGACAAGGAATTGTGCTAATGAATTATACTGATTTGATACATGTTTTCCATGGTTCCTTTTAAGACATAGAGCAATGAGGGCTTATAGCCAGAAACTGAACATTTTCAACTCTTTTAAAAATACCTGTATGTTTATAGATGACTAAAATTGAGTTTAGATGATTTGTGATTCAATATTTTAGGAAAAATTTCATGAAAAGTTGGCAGTCATTACAAGGTTAGAGGCAAAAGTTTATCAGTAGTTAAAGGATTATAATGTAGCACATGTGGTATTTATACTGAAATATGTTTTTTGATTCAAACTGTTTCATTTCCTTCTCGGAATCATACTGTGTAGTTAATTGATTCTCATATACATTTTGCCATTTTGAATAGTCCATGCCATTGTCAGCATTATTACAATACACAATATTAGTGAGTGTAGATAAACGTTGATATAGAAGTCTTAATAAAAAAGTAAAAATCTTACTTGTTCCTCACAGAGAAAGTGTTCTCCTCCTTTGGTTCCTGAAAATATCTGTGTCCTCCAAAAGAAAAGAAAGTCTCTGTGAAATTTTGAATAAAATTGTCTTTTCTGAAATTCAGTTTTGTTTTCTTTTAAATCAGATCTCGAAAATTTTAAAAGCAGAATGAGAAGTACAGTGTCAGTGCGTGAAGGCCAAGGAGTCGTCCTACTCTGTGGCCCCCCACCTCACTCTGGAGGTAAGAAATGGTGTGTTTTCGCTCTGTGTGTTTACCCAGCGGGCTTCAGGGAAAAGTCCTCAGCATATTTACTGTTGTTGTTTCTATAATTTTGATAATCAAACAGTATGGAATTCTGTCAACTGAGTTGGAATATGGGAAACTGGAAAAAAACACAAAATTTATCCAAAGAAACTTACAAAACTCATTCCAACAAGGAGAGTTTTTAAGGAAAAGAGAGATACCAAATTCATTTTGGTTGCGTAACACTGCTGAATAAAGTTTAATGCTCACATTATTGTCATTAGTTGTTTAGGGTTAGACCGAGACACACTTTGGAGTCTTTGCAGTCTCCTCCACTTCTCTCTCACTCTTATTCTCACACACTTAACACTCACAAACGTACATATGATCATTAATATTTGTTATTGAATCTCTTTCCACTTGGTGCCATAGGATAAGCATTGAACTTCTAATCACAAGGTCAGTGGTTCAAACCCACCAGCTGCTTCTTGGAAACCTATTAAGGGTCAATGAGTTGGAACCAACTCGATGACACTTAACAGTAACAGCAACATATGAAAACAGAACAGAATCCTTCCCATGGAAGACAGGACAAAACCCTTCCCAGTCCTGGGTATCCTCACTATAGGTCCTGTACTTCAGCCCACTGCTGAGTCACTGTGTCTGTCGATCTCATTGAAGAGCTTTCTATTTTTTGCTGACTTTGTCGTCGTTGCGTGTCGTCTACTCTTTTCAGACTCATAGCAACTCTGTGTAAGGTTTTTAAGGAGCAACGGGTGGGTTTAAACCCCCAAACTTGTTGTTAGCAGTTCAGTGCTTATCCTACTGCACCACACCAGGATTTTACCAAGCATAATGCTCTTCTTAAGGGGCTGGTATATTGCCCTGTATATTGCCCCCTTCCCTAGCACCCAAGCTTTCCTGTGTCCAATCCCCACCCTGCGCTCTGCCCTCCCCCCTTTCCTCCACCCATCACCAACTTCCCAGCAACCAACAAAGACTTCCCCCTACCCCCTTTTAGTATAATTTCTTTTTCTTAGTCTTTTACAGTAATGGTCCTATGCAGTATTTCTCTTTTTGTGACTGACTAATTTCACTCAGCATAATGTCCTCAAGGTTTATCCATGTTATGTGGTGGCTTACCGCTTCCTTGTTATCGTCAGTGTAGCATAATATTCCATTGTGTGTATGTACCACAATTTGTTTATCCATTCTTCAGTAGATGGGCACTTTAGCTGTCTCCATCTTTTTGCTATTGTAAATAGTGCTGCTATAAACATTGGTGTGCATATATCTTCTGCTGCTATAAACATTGGTGTGTGTATGTCTTCTCATGTTGTGGCTCGTTTTTCTTGTGGGTAAATACTGAGTAGAGGGATTGCTGGATCATAGGGCATTTCTATTTTCAACCTTCTGAGGAAACACCATATTGTTTTCCAGAGAGGTTGGACCATTTTGCAATCCCACCAGCAATGCAAGAGTGTCCCAGTCTCTACACATCCCCGCCAGCATTTATTGTCTTCTCCATTTTTCATCTTTGCTGTTATTGTTGGTGTGAGATGATATCTCATTGTTGTTTTGATTTGCATCTCTCTAATGGCTAGTGATCGTGAGCATTTCTTCATATGTTTGTTGGCTGCCCTGATCTCTTCCTTAGTGAAGTGTCTGTTCATATCCTGTGCCCACTTTTTAATTGGGTTATTTGTCTTTTTCTTGTAGAGGTGTTGCAGTCTCCTGTATATTCTGGAAATGAGTCCCTTGTCTGATATGTCATTGCAAAAGATTTTTTCCCATTCTATGGGTTCCCTTTTTACTCTTCTGGTGAAGTCTTTTGATGTACATAAGTTTTTAATTTTCAGTATGTCCCACTCCTGTATTTTATCTATTTTTGTTTGTGTGGTTTTCAAAATGTTTTGTAGTCCATGTATTCCCATCATTAGTGCCTTCACATTTGTCCAGAATTTTTCATTGATGACCTTCATAATTCTGGGATTCACATTTAGGTCCTTAATCCATGTTGAGTTGGTTTTTGTATAAGGCGTGAGGTGAAGGTCTTGTTTCAGACTTTTGCATATTATTTTCCAGTTCTGCCAGCACCATCTGTTGAAGAGACTATCCCACTTCCCATGGGACATATTTTAGTGTTTTGTCGAAGATCAATTGGCTGTATATAAATGCGTTAATTTCTGGGTTCTCGATTCTGTTCCATTGATCTATGTACCTTTCATTGTACCAGTATCAAACTGTTTTGACCACTGTAGCCTTATAGTATATTTTAAAAGTCAGAGAGTGACAGGCCTCCAACCTTATTCTTGTTCTTAAGCAGTGCTTTGCTTATCCTGGGTCTCTTTCCTTTCCATATAAAGTTTGTAATTGCTTTTTCCATCTCTTTGAAGAATGTCGTTGGAATCTGGATTGGTATTGCATTATATGTGTAAATTGCTTTGGGTGGTATTGACATGAATAATGTTATTTGAAATGAATTCAGTCATTGGTATTACAATCATAAGTTCTCTAGTATCTTTTCTATCATCAAGTTTTCATATTTTCTTTGCTTCCAACTTTCATGTTCCAGTCAGTAGTCATTATCAATGTATGTTGATTGCATATTTGATAAATTTCAGACAGCAGGAACTGATTTAAAAAACAAAAACTTAAATTTTTTTGTTGTTGTTTGTTTGACATTAGTGGTCAGTGTGTAAATTTAAATAATAGAATTATTGGGGTTTCCTTGTATTTATATGGATATTATCCAATCACTGACTATGTTGTACTTTAGGATAAATCTTTCAGTATTCTTTTGGGGGACAAACAAGATGTAATTTCTCTTCAATTTTTCATTCCTGGCACACTAATTCATATATGATTATTTCGTTCAAAATGGTCAGTACCTCTCCGTTTCAGCTCACCAGTGCCTAAGATAGCTCTACCTTCAAGAATTCCATTTAATTCTTGAACAATTTCTAATTACCATGAACTCATAGTTTTTATATTCCATATTCTGATTATTAATGGATGTTTGCAGCTGTTTCTCATTGTTTTGAGTTGTGCTGCACCAGCAAAGTAAGGTCCCAAAGCTCTGTCTATATCATCAAAGTCAACTCTACTTTGTGGAAGCAGCTTTTCCCCAGTAGCATTTAGAGTGCCTGCCAATCTGAAGAGTTCGTCTTCTGGCACTATTTATGATGATATTCTGTTGTTACTGGGACAGTTTTCACTGTCTTGCTGGAACCTGTGTCCCACGGTTGACCCTGCCAGTATATGAAATATCAGTGGCATAGCTTCCAGCATCACAGCAACACACAAACCCCCACAGTACAAGAAACTGATAGAGAAGTAATGAGCCTAGTACTGAGACTCCGAAGGAGCTGAGAGATACATGCCACCCAGCAAACACTACCAAGTCAGTGCAACAGAAAGTCCTTCCGGATTGCACATATCTATGTATGCATATGCACATAGGTGTACACAGATATACATATATGTACATGTATATGATTTTCTTGCATATATATATATACATACACATCACTTTCACTGGATATTGGAATTGCAAATCTAATCTTTATTGGTATAAATTGAAATATTGCTTGAAATTCAGGAGCTTAACAAAATAGCTACCCAGAGTGAAAACAAACATAAACACATATAAAAATAATTTAATAAGCCCTGCTATTTCATATGAGCCTGGAGATCTGTTTTGATTTTACTCTTCTGCTCATTATTGCAAATCTGGTCACTTGTGGGAAGACAGAAGGCATTATTAATATATAAATCACTGGTCTCTGAGAAACTCACACACATTGTTATTGAGAGGATGATAATTCCTCAGAGGTAAGCAAGGTAGAGAGGATCTTTCTGACCACAGGCAAACACTGAGAAGTCTGCTTCCCATCTTGGTAGAGCTTATTCAAATAAAATATATATATATATATGCTGGACTTTATTTGTAATGTGACATACAAACCAAAGGTTCTCTTCCCTCTTGATTTACCAGTCTTAATCACAAAACCCTCAGCCCAATGAAACAAACAGCTCCCACCTTCAGTTTTTAGTTATCTGAAATATGTGAGCCAGTGGGAGACTGCAGATTTGGGGCTTAACTGGCAGATGATATTGCCGTGATGTTGATGGCATGGGTTCCAGAGCTGCTTTTTAATAGTGAGGGAATATTTAGATTTCCTAGGATCATTTACTTTGAAGGAAAGCATTCATTGTAAGTAGAAGCAACTGAGGTCAAGGTGGCATGAAGAAAGCAGGAAATTTATTGGCTTATGTAGCCAGGATGTCTAACTTGCTTGTATGTAGTTCAGCTTTCTGGACAACACAGATAGATACCACCCAGAACCTACTTCTAAACTAAGGTGAGCTGGTTTAATTGATCGTCTGTATCTCTCAGCATCTTCTGATGTGTTTCAGCCTCACAGTGGCTTTGGCCAAGTACACACCTTAGACCTACCTAACCACAGCCCGATTCATAACCACTACGCTACCAGAGCTCCTTTAAACCACTAATAGTCGAGCAAAACATGGAAATGGTAGGCCATTTCTGCCCAATGCTGGGGCAGTTCCGTTGGGTAGTGTTCACTCCAGAGCTTCTTGCCAGCATGACTAACATTTTGTTAAGCCATATCAATATTTTAAAAGTTCTTTCTCTGCCCAATTATTTTTCTTCCTTCTTCCGTTCACAGGTTTCAGTGTCTAATAAAAATTAATTTCTTTCAAATTGTCTTAGCATCTGTTCTTGGAGAACCCAATCTGCTGCATCTAGGGCTTCAAACCAGTGTCAAGAACAATCTTTCTCCATAATTCTTGTCTCTGCCTCCTTCCGTCTTACCTACATGCTCCTGTACACTCCTTGTGGCGGCAAAAAGTAGCCCCTGGCAAGGTCAAGATCTTGAATGCTGAATTCCTTATGCTAAAAATCTTAATGAACCAGAGAAGGTGTTTCCTAGTAAAATCAAAACCCAAATCTGTTGCTGTTGAGTGAATTCCAT